GTCTTTGATCTTCATCAGTAAGTGCTTCAAGGCCTCTTCACTTTCAACAAGCAAAGTTGTGTCATCTGCATATTGCAGGTTGTTAATGAGCCCTCCTCCAATCCTGACGCCCCGTTCTTCTTCATAGAGTCCAGCTTCTCAGGTTATTTGCTCAGCACACAGATTGAATAAGTATGGTGAGAGGATGAAACCCTGACACACACCTTTCCTGATTTCAAACCACGCAGAGTCCCCTTGTTCTGTTTGAATGACTCCCTTTTGGTCTATGTACAGGTTCCGCATGAGCACAATTAAGTGTTCTGGAATTCTCATTCTTTGCAATGTTATCCATAATTTGTTGTGATCCACACAGGCAAATGCCTTTGCATAGTCAATAAAACACTGGTAAACCTTTCTCTGGTATTCTCTGCTTCCAGCCATGATCCATCTGACATCAGCAATGATATCCCTTGTTCCACGTCCTCTTCTGAACCCGGCTTGAATTTCTGGTGGTTCCCTGTCTACGTACTGCTGCAACTGCTTTTGAATGATCTTCAGCAAAATTTTACTTCCGTGTGATAGTAATAATATTGTGCAATAATTTCTGCATTCAGTTGGATCACCTTTCTTTGAAATGGGCACAAATATGGATCTCTTCCAGTCAGTTGGCCAGGTAGCTGTCTTCCAAATTTCTTGGCATAGATGAGTGAGCACCTCCAGTGCTGCATCCGTTTGTTGAAACATCTTCATTGGTATTCTGTCCATTCCTGGAGCCTTGTTTTTCGCCATTCCCAGTGCAGCTTGGACTTCTTCCTTCAATACCATCAGTTCTTGATCATATGCTACCTTCTGAAGTAGTTGGACATTGACCAATTCTTTTTGGTACAGTGACTCTCTGTATTCCTCCCATCTTCTTTTGATGCTTCCTGTGTCGTTCAATATTTTGCCAATAGAGTCCTTCAAAATTGCAACTCGAGGCTTGAATTTTCTCTTCAGTTCTTCAGCTTGAGAAATGCCGAGTGTGTGCTTCCCTTTTGATTTTCTAACTCCAAGTCTTTGCACATTTCATTATAAAACTTTATTTTGTCTTCTTGAGCCACCATTTGAAATATTCTGTTCAGCTTTTTTACTTCATCATTTCTTCCATTTACTTTAGCTACTCTACTTTCTACAGCAAGTTTCACAGTCTCTTCTGACATCCATTTTGGTCTTTTCTTTTTTTCTTGTCTTTTTAATGACCTTTTGCTTTCTTCATGCATGATGCCCTTGATGTCATCCTACAACTCATCGGGTCTTCGGTCATTAGTGTTCAATGTGTCGAATCTGTTCTTGAAATGGTCTCTAAATTCAGGTGGGATATACTCAAGGTCATATTTTGGCTCTTGCGGACTTGTTTTAATTTTCTTCAGTTTCAACTTGAACTTGTATATGAGCAATTGATGGTCTGTTCTGCAGTTGGCTCCTGGTCTTGTTCTGACTGATGATATTGAGCTTCTCTATCATCTCTTTCCACAGATGTAGTTGATTTGGTTCCTGTGTTTTCCATCCAGTGAGGTCCATGTGTATAAACCTGTTGCTGTCAAGTCGATTCCCACTCATAGTGACCCTATAGGACAGAGTAGAACTGCGCCATAGGATTCCAGGGAATGGCTGGTGGATTAGAACTGCTGACCTTTTGGTTAGCAAACAAGCTCTTAACCACTGAGTCTCCAGGACGCCTCCATGTGTACAGTCGCTGTTTATGTTGTTGAAAAAAGGTGTTTGCAATGAATAAGTCATTGGTCTTGCAAAATTCTATCATCTGGAGAGAGGTGACATCAAAGAGGTGATAGAGGTCTTTTAGGGCCCCCCCTGGGGCAAGGGAGGAGGGTGAGGAGGAGGGAGGAGAAAAGAAGGAGGAATTGGAGGAAAGGGATTGGATTCTGTGAGGGAAGAGAAGCCCGGGGCAGATCGCTAACAGACTCAAATCTGATTCACGTGCTAAGGTTGCCCCCTGTTGACCCAGTTGGGAACAATGGGGAGATGAGCGTGGTCTCCCTTCGGGGCGCCACCCTCCAGCCCCCACAGCGGGTCACAGGAAAGCTCCACAGCTTAAGCCCGGAAGACCTCATTCAGTCGAGTGGCCTCCCGCCTCCCAGCCTCCGTGTCCCCATCAGCAGAATGGGGACAACATAACCCCAGACCCTCGCCCCAGCACCTCTGCCTGGATGTGCTCAAGTGATTCCCACCAAGCTCTACAGGGTGGGAGCTACTGTTACCCCGCTTCGCATAGGGGGAAACCGAGACTCAGACAGCAGCATGAGGGAGGCAGAGGCAGGACTCAAACCCAGCTCCTGGCAGGGGACTGGCCGGCCCCTCCCTCACTGTCCCTGGCACGAGGAGGCCGTGACCAGGCAGCTGGATTAGGCAAGCGTGCCCATAGGGGGCTGGAGGAGGTGCTAAGGTGCTATGGAGACCCCCATGTAGGTGGGAACCCAGGATGTGGGGAGACGGCCCGCAGCACACACATTCCCAGGTTCCAGCCCCATGCCTCCGTTTCTCCAATCCTGTGATTGAGAGAGGTGAGTGAGAACAGCACCAACTCCCTCGTTTGGCATCCACAGATGGTTCTTGTGAACCAAGGCAGTCTCTGACCGGGGAGCCCCTCAGGGCGGCTTCTGTGCCTGTAACTCTCTTTAAATCAGGCCTCCCTCTCTGAACCCGGGCCCCCACGGATTTGGAGGGGCGTTTTGAGATTGGAAGCATTATCCCTTGCTTTCCGAATTCTTCATCTGGATGATTTGTGTGGTCCACACAGGGCGGTCGGTTACCCAGTCTGGCCACACACTCCAGCTATTTAGCCACTGGTTGAAAATCCAACCGAACCCGGTCCCCTTTTATCTCCAGTCAGCTCCAGAGCTCTGCTAACAGCGTACCAAACATGAGACACGATTTCTCTTTGAGGAATGAGTGATATTTGAGATGTATGGATCAGTGAGAAGCCTTGACACCCCGGTGCAGAAACCTGACTGAGGCAGTGGCCTCACCAATGGTCGTGCACATCCCAGGACAGCACCTGGGATGCAGCACCAGAGCCTATACTTCTCCCAGACCCTCAGAGGACTCATCTGGCCTGGACCCCTTGAAGCCTCAATCCAAGGCCCTGAGTCAGGTCTGCTCCTGGCAGCTTGGAGGCCGCCCTGATAGCGGCCACCTGTGCCTTTGTGAATTCTTGACCCCAGGTGCCACTGGGCCCGGAAGGAACGTACCCCAACATCTGCTCAGGTTTCACCCGATCAGGACATTCTTTCCTGGGATCTGGGTTACAATCTTCATCCATCCTTGGAGGTGGCCCATGCACTGCCAACCACCAGACTGGCTTTGGCTAGTTTGTAGTCCCAGGCCAGGGAGACCAGGCCAGGGCTGAGCCACCTCCACTGCCAGATGACCTGGGGTGGGGTGGGGCCTGGGCAGAGGATTCCTTCCAGCCAGCTATGACTTCACTGCTCAGGCCCTTGGCTTCAGGGCACTTCTGTGTTTTACAATTGCGGAGACCCCCAAAGGACACCCCAACCCAAGTCTCAGGCTCCCTTGGAAAGAGGGGGTGCATCCCCTTAACCCCCTCTGCTCTGCAGAGCCGGCCGCAGACTGAGGACCCTGAAGCCTGTGATGGATGAAGCCAGGGCACAGGGACCTAGATGGGGTGCTGGTGGGTGTGCTGGGGCACAAAGGGGCAGGGCTCAAGGTGGGAGGAGCCTATAATGTTCTTGGGTATACAAACAACATGCAAATATGCAAAGTATGAAAGGAATGCAACTCATATGTAAAGGTCATGCTGCTGAAAGCAAACATATGAAAAGCCATGCAAATGCCTCATACATTCAATCAAAGTAAAGTCAAATGTGAGTCCTGGACAGGCCAGGAACATGCAGGCAGGTATCATGGGGCTGGTGGCTCCTGGCCAGAGGCAGGATAGAAGGCAGGAAGGGACAGGAACTGGTTGAATGGACACAAGAAATACCGGGTGGAAAGGGGGAGTGTGCTGTCACACTGTGGGGATTGCAATTAATGTCATACAAGAATATGTGTATAAATTTTTGTGTGAGAAAGTAACTTGAGCTGTCAACTTTCACCTAAAGCACGATAAAAAAAATCAATCCAATTTAAGTTTTCTTTAGCTCAGAGTATTAAAATTATGCTTAAATTTCATTGTCAGAGATAAATATTTCCTCTTTTGTAGAGCTTCTTGACCAAACCCCTCTTCACATTTCTTTAAGTTTTGTTATGTTTCCTTTAAAATTCGAATTTAACCAAATAGGCTGCTTTTTCTGATTCAATGTCAATACTTAGAATTAATGGGATTACCTCTTTTGAAAAGAAGGCAACTATGCCCTAGCAAATTCCCAAGTATTTTACTCTGTAAGTCTAAAAAAAGTTATCTTGTTGAATGGGTAATTTGAGACTGCAGAGTATGTAAGAAAATAATGGTTAGCAAGTGGGGCACCAGAGATATTGAATGCAGCATATGTAATTATCCCAGAGTTTATAGATTTTCCAATAATTTTAAAAGGCCATCTTGAAAAATAATACAAAGACTGAACAAGAGTATAAAATAAAGATAGCAACTAGCATGGGCTGCTGGCTCTCTCCTCAAAACCCAAACTTAAACACATTGCAAAAGCTAGAGAAAGCTTGCTATATCTGTCAAACAAATATCAACACTAATGATATAAAATAGCACCAAAAATGAAATACTTGGGTATAAATATAACACAACAGATGCAGGATATATATTATGAAAATTATAAAACATTGGTGAAAAAAATATTTAAAAATGGAAAAATAAATGGAGAGATATACCATGATCATGGATTGGAAGACTCAAAATCGTCAAGATGTTAAAGCTATAGATCCAACACAATCCCAATCGAAATCCCACAGGCTTTTTTTTTTTTGCAATATCTATCAACAAGGTGACTCTAAAACATATATGGAAAGGCAAAGACAATACTCACCCATTTCAAGATTCATTATAAAGCTACAGCAATCAAGAAAATGTGGTACTGGTGAAAGGAAAGACACATAAATCAATGGAAAAGAATAGAGAACCCAGAAATAGATGCATACAAACATGGCCAATTGATTTCTGACAAAGGTATAAAGGCGTTTTTTGAAGAAAGTGTAGTTTTTCAACAAACGGTGTAAAAAATGTAACTTGACAACATACCTCACATCTTATATGAAAATTAACTTAAAATGGATCACAGACCTAAACTAAAACTCTAAAACTTTTAGGAGAAAATATGTGTGATCTTGGGTTCGGCAAAGATTTTTTAGATTTGACACCAAAATCACAATCCAATGATAGCTTGGACTCTATCAAAATTTTAAAGTTTTGCTCTGTGAAAGACACTATCAAAAGAATTAAAAAAACAAAAAAATCATGAGTGTGTGTGTGTGTGTGTGTGTGCGCGCGCGCGTGTGTGTGCGTGCCTGGGCCTAGGGCAGGAGTGCAACAGCAATGATGGTCAACACACTGACTCCATTTCCTGCCCTGAGCCCTTGGACCCATGGCCATACCTGCCCTTAGGTTCCGGGTCCCCAGCCCCAAGTCTCCAGGCAGAGGAGCTGTTGCTCCCAGATTTAGGCCAGGGGCAGGGATCTCTGACTCTCCCTGCAGCCTCCCAGCGCTGAGCCCTCTGCCCAAAGCTGGCAAGAGACCCGTGCAGCCACTAGAGGGCGAGGGTGAGCATGATGCGCATGTGGGGTCCTCTTCGCCCTAGGGCCATCCTGTACCTTATCTCCTGGTGCCCAGACAACCTGCCTGTGCGCGACCCCCATCCCCTCGCCCTCAGGGTAAGCTTCGGGCACAGAGGGTACTAGTCAGGGGCAGGTATGGCGTATCACAGCAGTGGTGGCCCCACAGAGCTGCAGTGTCAGAGGCGGGTGTGAGGAGAAGTAGAGGCCGCCTGGTTGAGGGGACCTGGGAGGCAGAGCTGGAGGGGCACAGGACCTTCCCTGGGGCATGTGAGGTGACAGGACACATTAGGGCCACTCTGGGCCAGGCGTCCCAATCCACATGCACTAATCTGGTACCTTTCATGTGGGAGTGGAGAAGAAAGAAGAAATGTCTTATTTTTTAAAGTTCAAGTAAGGGAGGAACCAGCAGGGACGCTGAGACGGGGACCCTCCAGCCAGCCTGTGGGGCCACATGGGCGACAAGTGACTGCTCAAGGGTGCAGAAAGGGCTTGGGAGTTTATTGACTCTTGATAAAACTTCAACTGGAGATGGTAGGACTTGTATTAATGTAAAAAAAAAAAAAAAAAAAAGTGCAAGACCAGTCACAGTAAAATCCTGAAATGGGTAATGGTGCTCCTGGGAATGAACCGGTGCATCCCAGCTGCTGTGCTGGGCTCATATGCCAGCCATCCCTGAGCAGCTCTGGTAGTAAAAACGCATCAAAATCAAAGTTAGTCAAAAACTTTAATGAGAAAACTGTGACAAGTCCTAGAGGGAACAATTCATAGTCTTATCACAAAGTTGATATTTAAAAAAATGAACCGAATTGGGAAAAGAGCAGTACTTTAGCCCGCTTCACATGGGCTGGGATGAAAAAGGACAGACGAGGATGAGGGCAGGACAAGGCAGGAGCTGTGGGCCGGGATGGAGCGGGCGGCCACTCCTTGCTGGTCTGGGTTCTGAGGTAATCAGCTGCACCTGGAGTGGGGACGGTGCCAGGATGCTTTTCTGCTCTGTCCCCAAAACTTAATTGGATGCGTCTGAGTGGACACTCCCTGGATCTCCAGCAGGTGACGTGATGGACAGTGGGGGGGCCTTGCCAGCTGCCCCTGGGCTGGAAAGAAACAACAGCAGCGTCAGCGGTGGTGCAGCTGTGGTGACTGCAGACCTGCCCTGCCCTCATCCCAACATTCAGGCAGGACCTCCAGGAGGGAAGAGACAAAGGCATCATAGTCCTGGGCTCACGCCCCAGCCTGCCACTTGACCCCTTGTGACATGGACATGCTTCCCTGGCAGCAAAGCTGAGCCTCCAACAGCTACCCCTGTGGGGACTTTGCAGGGAACCTATGTGGCACTGCTGTGGCAGCTGGGAGGGGCCAGAAGTTAGGCCTGCAGCCAGTGGGGCCAAGGAGGGTCTCTTGGAGAGAGGTTCCAGGTGGAGTGGTGGTGCCCCCACGTCTGGTCTGCAGTGCAGGGACAGTGAGACTCACACTGTCCAACCTAGGTAGTTTGTCCGGTCATGTCCAGGCTGGGCCCTCACACACCCACTCTCCACAATGATCATCCCCATCATCCCCGAGGCTGGGGAAAGGGGGCAGCATTAGGCCCCAGGTTCTCGATGTTTGCTCTTGGCGAATCCTTGGTCCGCAGCACATACCTGTGCATGGATCGTTCACCTCCCACATGGCACTGACAGGGGCAGATGCCACCCCCCTCCCCACATGGGGCTCGACTTCAGGCTCCCTCTGCTGGGGTTCCATGGGTCTCTAGCACCCACCTGGCACCCACACCTCGACCTCAACTGCAGCCAGCATCAGGAGGAGACTGGACACCAATCAGGCCAGCAGACCCAGCCCAGCCCCTCTGATGCGTCTGCTCAAGTGATGTGGAGGCAGAGTGCCGCCTGCCCCCAGCGGGAGTTGTACTGTGCCCTCTGGACAGACGCTTGAAGCCAGGATGGCAGGATCACAAGCCATGTCCCAGAAGAGGCGACAAGTGGGTGAGGGGAGAGGGTGGCTCTGTGTACGCACCCACTCATTGGATTGGGAAGGAGTGGCTGGAGATAAAGACATTCTTAGGAACCCCAGAACTAAGCTGTGGTTCTGGGCAGGGGTGGGGTGGGACACAGCTATGAGCAAGGAGGACCAAGTCAGAGTAGGACGCAGGTGGATGAGCAGGCACTGGAGTCCTGGCACTGACGGCTCACTGCAGGGGTGGTTGGACCCTGGCCTCACCATCTGGGAAGCCCTGGGCCCACTGGGGAAGGCTCCGGTGCTGACGGGGCCTCATTGAGCTGGCTGGGGTGATACTGCTGAAGCTTTTCGCAGGCATATTTACACCACTCTGCCCCTACCACTCATTATGGGTTGCGGGGTTGCTATGGCAGCTGGACAGACAGAAGTCGGAAGACCCGTCCTGGGCCAGGCTGGTGGTGGTGGAGCAGGATTGGTGGGAGTCAGTCTGGCAGTGTCGATCAGCAGTTCTGAGGCCCCCAGGGGCATGGCCAGGCCTTGCTGCCCACTCAGATCTGAGGTGGGCACGTCACACCTGTGATTGTGCATCATCTTCAGGAAATTCCACATGGGGTCCCACCTGGCCCCTCAGTTGACATCTGAACCCCACTCCCAGCCTTCCCTGCAGTGAGGGCCAGGACCCTGTGGGCTCCGCAGGAGACTCAGGAGCCCCAGGGACCGTGGGAGGACATGGGCTGCACATCGGCTGCAAAGCCCTGCCTGGCCCTGGCCTGCCCAGTCCACTGCCCAACACCCTTGAGAATGTCCCAGAAGGGCACACCCACCACCACACCAGTCTTAGTTCTGGCCATGCTGGGCTCCCAAGGCTTCTTGTTGGAGCAGTGGGACAGCTGTGCTGGCATACGTGGCCCTCCCAGCCCTCAAAAGTGGCCGGGGACAGGGCTGGGCTGAGTAAGGCCTTGGGGCTCAGAAACGGCAGGCAGACCCCTTGCCCAGGCAGTCGGTGCCGAAATGTGGCTCCTCTTCCCCGCCCCCTCCCCCCCCCACAACGGCCTCCTTTGCTCAGCAATCACAGACAGCAGACATCTCTGGCAGGGGGCCCTGTCCTGGCAAGAGGGGGTAGGAGGGGACAGGTCTTGCAGAGGTGGGGTCTCTTCACTCAACCCTCCAGATACCCCCAGAGCTTCACTACAAGGCAGTTATCACACCTCAGATCCTGCCCAGGGCCTGTAGCATTGCTGGCTGCTGAATACTTACAGGGGAGGCAAGGTGGCTGAGGACCGAGATCTCCACTCTCCTGGGACTGAGGCTCACCTGTGACTGACTCAGCTGTGACTGGGACCCGGGTCCTGCCTTGGGGTCACCGATGGAGGCCAGTGCTAGGAGGCTCACAAAGGTATTCCCGGGACTGGTCAGTGAGAAGGAGCCGGAGGAACCTGTAACAGTGAAGGTGTCAGGACAGGTATCACAACCTCCCAGGTGGAACCTGTCCTACACCTTTGCTGGGAAGAGTCAGTAATAGTTCTGACACAGACAGTCTGGTTAGTCAGGGAGGTGGCAGGGCCGGGTCACATGTCACCTCCCACTGCCCCGCAGGTCCTTCTTCTCAGCATTGACGTTCCTGTCCCCAAAGGGCCCACACAGCACATCTCCTGATTTGGATGAGTCTTTGCACTATGATGGACAGAGGCTTGTGAGGGGAACACAGTCAGGGAGCTGTGCTAGTAGGGTAAGGAGTCCTCACTCACCAGAGTTGGGCATCAAGGGGCAGCTGGCTTTGTGCCCTAGAATGCCAACTTTGGTGGCATCCACCGACGTTTTAGACATGTAAACGCTAGCCTCTTCTTGCGAGTTCCCCATGCTTTTTATACCGGATTCTTTTGTTGCCAAACCAGTTGGAGACCTACAGGCACACACAGCAGTCACTGGAAGAGTGGACTCAATGAGGAAGTAACAGAGGTGAACACACCGTGGGCTCCCCTCAAAACACCCGTTATTCCCAACAACTCTTGATCCTGGCTGGGCCCGGGACATGTCCGCATTGGGTCACTGAGGACACCCTGGGGCTGGCGTGTTCTACAGGACATGGACAAACAGTACTGCCTCGGAGACCAGGTGCTGCTGGAACCTGGAATGGGAAAGGAGCGGGAAGGAAACATGGATGTCTGTGATAGGTGCTGATAAATGGCCATCCACTCCCTGCAGGCGGCAGACAGCCAATTAAATTATGGACCCACTCCCAGAAACCCCCTTCTGGGAACCCAGTCGAAGAAAAGAACGCGACTGAGTCCAATGCCTACCACGTGATAACAAGGACGCATGCTGGTGGGTAGTTGGAATGTGCCAGCACTGAGGTAAACACCTCACAGATGACTTCACCTAACCTTCAGGCTACCCAAAAAGAGCTGTGAACATTCACATTCTACAAGAAAAGAGAGCCTCAGGGGTGAAGAGCTGGCCCAGGGCCAAAATGGGGTCTGACCTCAGGTGGGCTCCAAACCTGTGCTCCGGTCCCTCCAGGGCAGGGTCCTCACCCTTGGCACCAACGACATTGCCAGATCTTTCTCTGTGGTGGGGCCGTCCTATGCACTATTGGGTGTTGAGCAGCATCCCTGGCCTCTACCCACTCGATGCTAGTAGCACCACCTCAGTTGTGACAACCACAGATGTCTCCAGATATGGCCAGTGTTCCCTGGGGCAGAGTAGCCCAGGAGGGACCCCCTGGCCTAGTGCCTTCCTACAAGCAGTGAGATGTCCATGGTAGCCCACACAGGGCTATCCATGTACAACTGCAAACACCTCACTATCCCAATGAAACACACACTGAAGTTTCATGAACAGAGGTAACACAGTTGAGTTACGGTGGTAGAGTTACAGATGACTTTTTCTCTTTAAAATTTTAGAAATATTCTAACCATAAAAAGAAAAATCACCTGTATGTGTGCTCCCTGTTCATAAACTAGTGTCTCTTCCCTGCCTGCTCCTGAGCATGAGGTGACCTGCCCTTACCTAGCCAGGGATAAGCGCTTGGTTTCCATTTACCTCTAAAGAATGTGCCAGAACTTCTTTGTGGAATTAAGTTTGTGAAAATGAACAAAGCTAAATTCAGAAGAATGGCTGCAAAACACATTTTCATTTTCAATTCAATTGGAATTTTAGAGGGACAAACTTTCTACCTGGCGAGTTGGGGGTAGAAGTCCAAGTGATTGGAAAGCTGGTCCCTGGCCACGGCCCACCTCTGTGGACAGAGTACCCCAGTACTGACCCAACTCAGACCTTCTGTGCACCTGGCTGGATGGAGACCAGGAACCACCGGCCCCAGACAGTCGATGGCTATTGGCCCTGGTTATTCTGGCAAAACCAGCTGCAGTTGCCCAGATGTCTGCCTGTAGCCCCAACCTGAAAACTTTGGTGGGCCTCACCCTTGACACCCCATCCCCCAATTGTGATCTCCCTTCCCCCTTTACCTTCTCCTTAGGTAAACCTCACAACATGCACAACATCCAACTCCCTAGAATGTCTCAAAGGAGCCCTGGTGGAGCAATGGTTAAGTGCTTGGCTGCTGACAGGTCACTAGTTGGAACCCATCAGCCCCTCTGTGGGAGAAAGATGTGGCAGTCTGCGTCTGTAAAGCTTATAGCCTTGGAAACCCTATGGAGTTTTACTCTGTCCTATAAGGTCACTGTGAGTTGGAACCGACTTGATGGCAATGGGACCATTCATGGACAGAGCTTGACTTGTGGAGTACAATACTCCACACATGCACCCTCAGGGGGTCCTCATGCTCCCCATGCATCTTCTCAGGGGGCACTCACACTCCACTTGCATCTCCTCAGGGGGTCTTCCTGCTCCACACACACGCACTTGCTCAGGGGGTCCTCACATCGCATATGCATCACCTGAAGGAACGCTTACTTGAGGCCTCCTGGTCTATGCACTTCCCTCCATCCGTCTCACAGATTGGGGGGAGAGCACCTACTGGAGCCCACAGCTTACAGCGCAGTGCCAGGATCTGCGCCCAGCCTGGCTGACTCTGAGCCTGGACACTCGGCTCCTGCCCCATCTGTCCACACATTTAATTAATCCCTGGGTGTCCTCATTGGACCTAACTGTCCTCCCCTTTGAAGTACAGCTGGCAGCAGGGAGGCGTGGCAGGGGAGGACCATCACCTGGGAGACCGTGATGCCACCCTTCCTGGCCAACTCTTCTTTGGCTTCTTTGCTGGGATAAGGGTTGCTCAAATGGGAATAAAAATACTCATTCACCACCTCTGTGGCCTGCTTGCTAAAACTCCTCCACTTATGCCTGCAAAGACAGATGCCCCAGCCAGTGTTCATATGCTGGGACTCTTTAACAGTGCCCTCCCACCCCCCTCCACCCCCCACCCCTGCCCTGGCAGCAACCACACTTCAGAACACCTTCCAGAGACATGGTGGATTACAACACAAAAGAGGATGTAGAAGGTCTACAGCCATGGCTACAGCCAGAGTCCCTGGACGGGCTCACAGGTCCCCAGGGCTATCTGATTCCATTCATCTTCCGGAGGGCCAGCCCTCACAGCGTTCAGGCAGGGGTGTGGAGCCTGAGCTGGCATCGAGGAACCGCGAGTGCAGGGTCATCACAGCCTCGCAGGTGCTATGCTTCAGCTGCATCTGAATGGCGCTGAACTTGCCGTGGATGACGCCGACCACGTGCTTGATCTCCTTGGGAGAGACAGGCTGCATCCTGCTTTGCTCTCGGAGGAGGTTGGTGACGTGCGTGGTGAACTCACGGCAGGCCTTGGGCGGGGACACAGATAGTTGGCCTGTGACAAACCAGCAGGGTGGCGAAGGGCAGCAGATCCACGCCAGACCAGCCACCTGCCCACCCCTTAGTGGCCCACATACAAGCTGGGAAGTAAATGAAAGGAGCTTTACCTAAGATCTGCCACCTTTGTGGTTAGACTCATTGCGTGTACTCCCTGCTCTTTGCCACAAAAGAAAGGCGGTTAGTCGTTCCACAGTTTGCTTTGACAAATGCGCATTCACATGATAGAAACACTTCCATGCAGAAAGATCACCTGTTCATATTTCTCTAGCTCAGAGTGGTATATCTGTCAGATCTGGGACAGCTTGGCCCTGTAGTCAGAGTGCTCAATGCTATTGTCATTTGGACAGCCACCTGGTGTCGCTGTGCCGGCCACGGCTGGTCCTCCTCTTCCTCTCCTCTCCGGCCTGGAGACGACCTGAGCCAGCAGCATGTTATCTAACCTCATGAGCTGAGCGTCCGGGTGGGGGGTGGGGGGTCCTCTTCCTGAATGCCACGAATGCTTAACGCTAGATAAGAGAGAGGAACAAATCAGTATTCGTTTTCTGGACAGAAAACAGAACACAACAAAACATGTTCTGGCACTATGAGCACTTTCAGGGATGAGTATTACTTCATTCATTACCAAATTTGGTAACAGACACTGAGTAACCCACCCCCACACTGGCCCAGGTGCCACAGTCCAGTGGGACAGAAAGGCAAGGCCACAACTCTGGACAGGCACGTGGGGAGAACTCCACCAGGGAGGGTGGAAAAGCAACATCTAAGGGATGGGCAAAGAAGATTGAGAGTTATCAGGTAAGTCACAGAAGGGCCAGAAAAATTCAGAGAGGGGTGAATAGCGTGGGTCTAGCCATTAGGAGAGTGTTGTTAGCCTCTACAGAAGCAGCTGCAGGGGTCAGTGGGGTGGAGAGCTGACTAGGAAGCTCCCAAGAATGTGTGGGAGCTGGGCAGCCCAGGGCAGGAGGCAGCAAGGGTCTGGCCCAGGGAGGGTGGTTTCGTGGGTGTCCGTGTTTGGTTTGGTTCTCTAGCGATAGTGAAAATGGGCGCGGCCCACAGCGAAAGGAGCCAGATGAGGGACTGGTGGACGACTGGGGTGGGGGGGTGCGGTCCTGAGGAGATGGAGTCTGGGGGCGAGGGAAGAAGGTGATTATGGAGATGTAGTTCTGACTTTCAGGGAAACAGTGTGAAGTGTTCTTGGAAACAGTCTCTCTTATCAACCACTCACTACTAACTGACTGAAGTGCCCAAATAAAATTTCAGTTTAATCATATCACATATATATATATATTTACAGTCAATAGTCACTTGTCCCTTTCTTGTTCCCTACATATAGATTAACCTTTTCTGTCAAAAACTCACTAGCCAAAAGGGAAGGAACTCAGGAGACATCTTTGTAGGAATTTCCTTAGAAATATCCACTTTAGCAACTAGTAAACCTGCGACAAACCGCATAACCAGCAGTTTGGACTAAAGAAACACCCTAGCATATCCAGGGTGTGCTCTCAAAGCTGTACTTACCTGATGTAGAACAGCACCCTGACCTCGCCGAGATTTTGCGTTACTCAAAGTTTGAAAAAGCAATACTGACTGAGAAAAGTGAGACGCACACTCGGTTCATGTCTCAAGCAGAGTGGGCTAGAAGGTCGCAGAGGGGCCCAGACTCACGCACAGGAGCCCAGGATACAGTGAGCACACACAGCAATTACAGCGACCCATGCTAGCAACAGCCAAAACAGCTAACACATGCGATCACAGCACATCCATAAATAATGTTATAAAGCCACCAACAATCACAGCTTCAGGGACTTTTAATGACGTTATGGATGTTTTAGTGCCCTATTTCTACCATAACAAATCACCACAAACTTAGTGGCTTAAAACAACGCAAATTTATTTTCTGATAGTTCCTGAGATGCGGGTCTCACTGGGCTAAAATCAAGGGTCTGCAGGGCTGCATCCCTTTCTGGATGCTCCAGGGGAGAATCCATTTCTTTGCCTTTTCCAGCTTCCAGAGGCTGCCTGTGTTCCTTGGTTCATGGCCTGCTATAGTCGGAGCCAGCAACAGTAGGTGGAGTCCTCATATCACATCACCCGGATCTCTTCTGCCTCCCTCTTCCACTCTTAAGGACCCCATGACTACCCTGGTCTCAACCAGCTCATCCAGGACAATCTCCTGATTTTAAGGTGAGCTGATTAGCAACCTCAATCCCCCTTTGCATGTGAGGTACCTTATTCACAGGTTCCAGGGATTAGGACATGGAGATCTGTGGGGGCCATTATTCTGCCGACCACAGAAAGTTCAAGATACAATGCTAGGTGAATAAAGCAGATCACAAAACTGTTTCTCAGCTCAGTCTAATTTTCTCAGGGCATATATGACGTGGGTGTGTGGCGGGGAGGGGTGTAGAGAAGCACAGAGGGGCACAAATCAGACAGATAGTAGCCCAGAAAACAGATTGGAAAGTAACACACCAAAATATGAACCAAGCCCTTTTCTAGGTGATTTTTCCTTATTGTGTGTTTTCCTGTATTTTCTATAACCTGTATGTGGAATGGGGACATCTGGGCATACCCCTGTGAGGCTGAATACATCAGAACACACCCTCAGGCTGTCTTCTCAAATATCACTCAGCATCAGCCCTAATTCTCCGCAAAAGCACTTATCTTCCAGCTACAACCCTATGAAAATCTATGCTGCTGGCTACTCTGGCCCTTGACCGCAGGGTTTCAGAGGCGCCCGTCCCTGATGCCTGGCGGGCTGCACTTCCCCAACATCTGACACCAGGAACACTCGTTGTTTTATGCTGTCCTCAGTCCCTCTTTCTGGAAGTCCCTTTATCAGGGAGCCACTGGGCGCCAGTTTGGAGACCCCCTTCTTTGACAAACTTACTTCATCTAAAGGAAGAACCAGCTAGAAACTTCCGCTTCCAACCACCGGCCACACTGAAGATCCGATGGCCCAGCCCGCCACAGCGATGTTCACGGTGCCGCTGACTGGTCAGTGACATAAACTCCGAGATTACCCTGCACTTGCTCCTTGTTAAAGATCCCCTCTCCGCCCTCCTAACTTCTGCTAGCACAGCATGGATCTCTTTTTCTTCCTAGTCCCTGGTTCCAGATCCATTGATCCTGCCTCTGCAGCCTCCCTTCCACTCATCCCCTCCCTCATTAACTGTGAAGCAGCGAGAGGAAACCCTGTCTCTCCCTCCAACCTGTCACACACTCACATGACTGCCCTCAGTGCTGGGCTCACTGTGCTGTTCTCGTTCTTTCCTTCAAAGGACTTCGATGATGTCTGGCACCCACAGAGAAGGCCCAGATCTGTGATGTGGCACATAGGGCCCTTCCACTCCTCCTTCCAGGCTCACCTTAGTGACCTTCACCCTCCAGGCCCCTGCAGCCCTGTGGTGAGCAGGACAATGCTCTACTCACTGTCTCTATTTATTTAGTAGCTACTTCCTGAGTGCTGCGGATCCCAGTGGGGTCAGGAGTGGGACCCGAGCATGCACAGGAACCCATCCCTTCCCACGGGCCGGCCTCGCAACACACTCTGACACCCGCTGGAGAAGCCATCTCCTACCTTCCATTATGGGTTGAATGGAATTAAAGAAAGGAGTGGCTAAGGTCTGGATGAGTGGCTTAAAGAAAGTGTGCATGTCCATGTGTGCCCATGCGTGTTCATGTGTGCGTGTATTCACGTGTGCGCGTGCATCTGTGCGTGTCCGTGTGCATCCACGCATGTGCGTGTTTGTGTGTGTGTGCATGGCATTCTCTTCTTCCTTTATTCAACAGCAAACATTCGAGAGCCCATCGCAAGCCAGATACCACATGAGGTGATGGAGATATTTTTACCTTTACAAAGTACCTGTGCCTTTTCTCACTGACTCCTCACAGGTATGTGCTGATATGTTTTGGGGGGTGAGGTTGGGAAGCCTATTAACATTGAAAAAGTGCATATCCTTTCATCACCAAGTTCCACTTCTGGAACTGATCCTGCAGAAATTTATTTATGTATTTATTTTGCCACGTATCTATTTTTTTTTTTAATTGTGCTTTAGGTGAGAGTTTATAGAGCAAATTAGATTCTCATTACACAATTGATACACATATTGTTTTGTGACATTTGTTGCCAACCCAGCAATGTGTCAACACTCTTCCCTTCTCAACCTCACCTTCCTCATTTCCACTCGTCCAATCTTCCCGTCCCTCCCTGCCTTCTCGTCCTTGCTTTTGGGCTGATGTGCCCATTTAGTCTCGCATACATGGTTGAACTACGTGCGTTATTTTGTTTTATAGGCCTGTCTAATCTTTGGCTGAAGGGTGAACATCAGGAGTGACTTTAACACTGAGTTAAAAGGGTGTCCCGGCACTATACTCTCGGGGTTTTTCTATAGTCTCTGTCAGACCAGTAAGTCTGGTTTTTTTTTTTTTTTTTTTTTGAGTTTGAATTTTGTTCTACATTTTTCTCCAGCTCTGTCTGGGACCCTCTATTGTGATCCCTGTCAGAGCAGTCGGTGGTGGTA